TGCTGTTGCTGTTGCTGCTGCTGCTGCAGGGACTGGTGGTCCGGGGGGGCTGGGTGCTGCAAGGGAGGCCCGGAGGGGAAGCTGTCGGGTACAGGAGGAGTGAACTCGCCGGGGAGGCCCGGGTAGGCGGAGGGCGAGAGGTGGTTGTCCAGAGCGCCGTTGTGCATGCTACCATTCCACGAAGCACAGCGGTCCACTCCTGCGCTGCCCGGGAAGTCGAAGCGCGGCCTCTTGGCCATGTTCATGTAGGGGGGCGCGTCGAAATGCTGCAGCCGCTGGTTGGGCGCCTGCTGCGGAGGGGGATGCTGCATGTTGAAAACAGGCTCGGAATAAGGGTGCATGCTCCGGTTCTCCAGCCGGTGGATGGGATACTCGAACTGCGCGTGCTGGCTGGGCAGCATGGGACCCCCGTCCTGCAGGCCTCCGCTGGGCGTGCCAGCCTCGCCCTGCTGGGGCCGCGGGAGAGCAGGCGGGCAGGAATTTTGTCGAACCAGAAGCCCGGGTGGCGGAGGCTGCTGTTGCGGTTGCTGCGGGGGCTGCTGCTGGGGGGGTGGCGGGGCCTGCTGGGGAGGCTGCATTAACGGGTGCCTAGAGCCTACCCCGGGCTCCAGACCCACAGGCATCTTCCGGGCCCCGCCAAACCTCTCGAAGAACACGCCATGCTGCTGTGGCTGCTGCGGTGGCTGCTGCGGTGGCGGCTGCGGTGGCTGGGCGTGCATTTTGGACAAGCCCACCATGCCCGCGGCTCTGGGCATGGCCGAGGCAGCCGGGAAAGCGCCCCCGGGAACCTGACGACCCGCTGCATAATGAGGCAGCTGCCCCTCGGAGTCGGAGGGCGAAAACATGTCAAAATGTCCCGAGGGCGCCTCGCCCGCGTAATTGTATTCCAGGGAGTCGACGGTTCCTTGGTTCGTCACCCTCCGGGGCTCCAGACTGTGGGAATCGGAGCCGCTGGAGGCGGGCAGGCCGTGGAAAGATGCGGCCCGGTTAGGGCTCTGGTCCAGCGGCAGGCATGGGGCAGGCACGGCGTGGCCCGAGGCACCTGAACTGTGGAAGTCCGGGAGGTTTCCAGGTCGCTGCGGGCCGAAGCTCTCCGGCCCCTGGCTCTCCGCCATGTGCTCATAGCCCTCTGCGAAGGGCGGCTGGCTGCCCAGGCCGCCGGCCGCGCCTCCGTAGCCAAGCAGGCGACCCCCGTGCAGGCACGAGGCCCCCGGGTCTGGGCCGCCGAACTGACCGCCGAAGAAGCCGTGCACGGGCTGCGCCTGCAGCCCCCCTGCGTGCAACTCCGAGTGGCCCCGCGCGTGGAAACCGTATGGCTCCATGTTCATGCCCAAGATCGGGGGCTCGCCCAGCGCGCTCATGGCAGGGTCCACGGGGCCAGGGGGCCCCCCCGTGTGAAAAGCAGGAGCCTTAAAGTGGGCATTCATGCTCAGTCCGGTCTCGTTAAAGTTCCTCTCGCCCTGGCCAGCGTTCCTGCTGTTGATCTGGGGCTCGAATTGGTCCAGCCCAAACATACTTGGCGGGGGGCAAGGGGGGATCAATAGGGCATGACAGCTTGCTCTCCGTGGCGCGCCTCCGGCCAGCTACGCGTTCCAGCCCAGGATTGGGCGCTACGGGACGTTCGGCACCGCGGGGGCGCAGCGCGCACGGCCACCCCGCCAGGCGTGGGGAGGCTGGGGGCTCTCGGCTCCTCTCCCGAAGCTCTGGATCTGCCCGGGGCGAGCCTCTCACATCTTGCGAGGCCGCGGGGCCTCCAGGAGCCGCGTGGGGGGGCCCATGCCCCAGGCGGTTGGCACAGCCGCGGGTGGGTTTGCGGGGAGGGGACCGGGCCGCGGGCGAACGTAGACAAAAAGTTAAGTGGGGGAAACGGGGCGGGAAGGGGGTTGGGAAAGCCGAGCAATCACCTTCTTAAGTCCGATCGGGTCGGTGGGGGCGCCCCAGGACGCCGCCCGCAGCCTCCCGGAGTCCGCGTGGAGCTGCTAGGGGCCGGGAGGGAGACCCTGAAAAGCCGCGGCTGGCGTGGGGGCACCGACCGAGAGGCCCTCCCCCCTCCCCCCGGAGTCCCTGCGCCCGGCAGCCCGAGCCTCGGCCGAGCACGATCCGCTCGCTCAGTCCCCGCCGGCCCCGGGCGAACGGCTGCTGCTTCTTCAGCGGGTCGGAGGTCTAGAGGCTCCGCTCGGCATCGTCGGTACCGGCCCCCGAGCCGAGGAAGCAGCGGGGCTGGGGAGGCGGCAGGCGCCGGGATTGGAGCGGGGGGTCGGGGGAAAGGCGCGGCTCCCCTGCCCGGCGGCGGGTGCGCTGCGCCCCAGCGCGCCGCTGCTCGGCCACGTCCGCCGCCCGCTGCTTCTGCCCTCCGCCGTTCGGTGTCTGAGTTCGCGGGAGTCTCCGCGTCCCGCTGCAAGCTCGGGCGAGTACAGAGGCGAAGGGTTGGGTGGCTCCGAAGCTCCGGTTCCCTGCCGCCGCGCCGAGGTGCTCCGCGAGTCCCCCTCGGACCCGGGGAAGGGGGGCGTACGCGGGTTGGGGGCCGCGCGGGGCCGGCGAGCCGAGGCGTTCCGGCTGCGCTCTCCGAGCCGGGAACGGGGAGGGGGGCGGGAGCAGCTCTGGGGGGTCCGCGCACCCCGCTCCAGGCTGGCGGGGGGGCTCTGCGTGGGGCGTTCGGAGGGCCTCGGCTCCCCTCTCTGTCTGCCTCTCGCCCAGCGCCGGGAGAAGCAGCAACAAGTTTTGCATTTCAGCAATCAATTTCAGCCATTACATCTGCACCAATCAGCGCCGCCCAAGCTCCGGGCCCGGGGCGGGGCTCGCTCTTAAGGTGGTCCCGGGTCCTGGCTGCTGAGGCCCCCGCCACGGACCCGCACTACCCCGGCGCTGGGGTCCCCTGCTCCCGCCTCGCCTCGGGGTCCGGCGCCAGTGCACTGGGGGCGCGTCCTGGCCTCCGGGCGCGGGGGGCTGGAGAGGGCGCGGGCGGAGGAGAATGGCGGGAGCTTGGCTTTGTTCACCCCCCTTCCCATTCACACTGTTCTCAACTCCCCACCCCCAACTGGAGCGAGACCTGCCGGGTGGGCAGGGGGCGGGGAGGTGGGCGGCGAGCGGTGCGGGGCGCTCAGACAATGGGGTCGCCTGGCAAAGCCCCTGGACGCGCCACGGAAAGTCTCTAAGTGTCTGCGGCTCCTCAGCCGAGGGGTGAACCCTCCCTCTGCTCTCCACTGGCGGCGCCCGAGCTGGCCCGGCTGGGGATTTTGCTGGAGGTTAAAGCAGACCCGGAACCCCGAAGTTAGGGTTCTCCTGGAGAGACCCCGGCTCTTGCTCTTTCCTCCTTTACTAGGGCACGCACAATTGTCCCTTATTGCCACTGTCTGGGGTTTCCGGTTCTCAGCCTCTGGCTTGGGTTGGAGGAGCCACGATCACTCTGCCACTTCATGCGGGGATGGGGACATCGGAGGAGCCCAGCGCGGGAGCGGCCAGGCCGTAGCCTTAGCACCTGGGAGCCTCGGGAAGACCCGCGCGTAAAGGGCGCACGAGTCGGCCGCAGCACCTTGCTCCAGCCACCCGGGCCAAGGCCCAGGCCCTCTCCCGGCGCGAAGTTGGCCTCCTTAAGAGATCAATTAAACTGAAGAGGCCAAAGAACGGAATTGGGTTGTGATACTAAAATCAATAGGAGTAATTTAATATCTGCCCTGCTCTTTATGAAATATTTATCCCAATAATCTTAGTTAAAATGTTTAGATCTTCCTGATCCCCACCGAGGCTGAAATCTATCTTGCAATTAGAAGTTGAAAGTTGGAGGTGATGGAGGATAGTGTTTATTCTGGGTGCGTGTGTCCGTGCCCACGCGAGCCTGTGTGTGTGCGTGCGTGCGTGTGTTCTCCGCTCTGAAGAGTAAGTAGGAGACAGGAGCAGGGAGAGGCCTTTCATTTTCTTTGCCATAAAATTGCACCAGGCGATCTGGCTAACAGACCTACACTCTTAGGAGAAAGGGAGGAAAACAAACAGAACTTTCTTTGGAGGGCCCTGATATCGCTATTAAATCTAAATAAAATTAAGCATGGTATATAAAATGCCTCCTTCCCCCCCACAAAAGAAAGTGTTTATCGCCCAAGTCTGTCTAGCGTTTGCTAAATTGCGCATGAAATCTGAAATGAAATAAACGTTATAATAAAACCAACCCCTGAGCCCTTTTTATTTAAAAACCTCGGATTAAGCACTCCACAGTCGCCGGCGCGAGTTAAAAAGTTACCATGTCGTGCACGCACCGATTCATGGCTCCCCCCGGAGCTGCAGCCAGCAAGGTGACGCTGGAAAATGGGGCTCAACTTAGGAGGTGAGAGGAGGGAGCGGCAGGGGGCAGACTCTCCAGGGACTTCCCAAGAACCCCCCTCAAAAAAAAAAAAAAAGAACAAATACTAAAACCCAACAACTTTAAAACTCAAAGATGAAGCAAGCTCAGGTCCAAGGTCCTTCCTGGAGTCCACAGATATCTATATTTTTTTTCTTTTTGAAATTAAAAATGAAAATCACCCCCACCAAAAATGGGGCCCATAAATAAGCACCAGGAAGAAGTATTTGTACAGGGTGGTGGAGTTTTAAAAGGATTTTTCTGCAGGATCAGGTTGTTGGTCTGTGATTAAATATTGATTTTGTGTAATTAGTTTTCATGTGAACTATCCTCTTGCTGATAGCTTAGAGGTTTCAGAACTAGAGAAGAAATGGAATTGGACATGGAAATTATTACTTAGCAAAGTGACAGGAAAGGGAGGGCCCGAGAGAAGACTGGGGCTTGGCTGATTTAGGCACAAAGAAATTAAGGACCTGAGAAGGCCTCTGGTGACCCCTTCCCAGGGCTCCTGGGCCACAGCAGGGGAGACGGGGACCTCCTGGGCAGGAAGGGGGCCCAGTGGGGGGATGGCTGCCTGTCGTGAGGAGCACCCCTCCCGGGCAAAGGCCTGTGCAGAGTCGATGACACCAGGTCACCCCTTGGCTCTGGACTGTGAGTGTACCAGGAGGCAGCCGTGTGCGACGGGAGAGTGGGGACCCGCCCGGGCCTGGAGGGGTGGGGGTGGGGAGGGCTGGCCTGCAGCCCGGGGACAGCCATGACTTCACGCCGGCGGGCGGGGGTCCCCTGCACACCTGGGCAGGTTTCCTGTGGAATAACTCTGTGCGCCCCAGGGAGGGGGGTGTGGGAGTATTTTTCTGGGGCCGTTTCCAAGACTCGGCTCTGCGAGGTGTGTGTGTGTGAAAGGAGGGTGTGTTGGGCCGCCGTGTTTCTGTCCGGGTGTGTGTCTGAGTCGCCTTTCTTGAACACTGGGCATGTTGTGCGGGGCGTGTGGCCGCGTCCTGCACTGCGTCTTCCCCGGGTGACACTCCCAGGCCCTCTGTGTGTCTGTCCGTGGCTGCGTGGCAGCTCTGTCTTGCGCCCCAGCCCGGGGGCGCCCCGCTCTGGGATCTGCGTGGGCATCTGCCTGCGCCCCTGCTCGCGTGGGTCCTTGTCCCTCTCTGCAGGTGCGAGCCGTGTGCCTGTGCCCGTGCCCGGCCGGGGCCGGGGGAAGCGTTGGCGTGTCTGTGCACGGCGTGGGCGCCCCTCCTGTGCCTCCCTGCCAGGGCCGCGCAGTTTCTTGGGAACGGACACACTGCCCCCTAGCGCCCAAGGAGTGCAGAGTCCCGCCGGCGCAGGGCCGGGAGCCGCGGGCGCCGCAGGGTCCCCCGCGGGCCTGCTGCCTCCTCTGGTTCCGAGTACCCCGCCCTCCCGGAGTGTGCTGGCAGCGGCTGGAGGGGACTCCTGGGGCAGGGAAGGTGAGGGAGGGTCACAGGATGGAGCCCCAGGGCTGGTGACAAGTGGGGAACCGTCTGGAATGGCCTCAGTAAGGTGCCCAGGCTCCCTATACAGGCTGGGAGGTAGGGATGGTGGGACCGGCCAGACTGGGGGAGGGTCGCTAGTGACCCCCCTACACACTCCAGGAAACGCAGCAGCACCCAACACTGGTCACCCACTGGACACACAGGCTCCACACCTGCCCAGATTCCAATCTCCTCTTCAACACTCTGAGCTGTGTGGGCTGAGGTGAAATATTGCCTTCTCTGAACCTCAGTCTCCCTTTGGGAAAGGGGAAATGAAAGCCATTTTAAATAAGCCATAAGATTGGAGGCAGAGTGTGACACACAGAAGGCTTCCATTTGATGGTAGAACCTCTTCTCACTAATTCCTCAGCATTTGAATCTAAAGAAGTGGAGAATAGAGAAAGGATCCCGGAAAGATCTGGTTTCTTTCTTTCCTTCTTTCTTTCTTTCTTTCTTTCTTTCTTTCTTTCTTTCTTTCTTTCTTTCTTTCTTTCTT